GAGGAGGGGTTTAAAACATTGAAAACATAATAAAAGTGAGCGGAATGCCCAGTAGGATATAATTTTTATAAAAATATTTTAAATAAAGGTACTCACGGTCCGAAGACATACACCCGGAACCGATCATCCTTTTTAGAAAAGGAAATACTCACATAATAGAATATGTCTGTATAATGAAAGTGTGCAGCTCAGCATACCACTAAACAAGAAGCGGTAAAAATGTCTGTCTAATGAAAAGTGCAGAGCCATAATTCCACTAAACAAGAAGTAAATCCGTACGGGTTTCGGGACCTGCCTCCAAGGATGCGATTCCCACATCCCGATCTCTGAGGCCACCATGTATTGTATCATTCCTTAAAATATTTCATTTTAAGAAATGATACGCTTTGAAATCTCATTTCGAAAATCATTGAAAAAACTTAATAGCATTCTCATGCTATTTCATTAAAATCATTTTCTTTAAACATATTTTGTTCTAAAACATTTTCATTGGCCAAAATCATTTAAAATGAGGCTAACAAGGATATGGACAAGAATATCCTACCTCTCGGATGTCAAACCTAGGCTAGCTTTCCGTTCTCTTAGCCTCCGCTTTCCTTAAAGCTTTAATACTTGACCTTTTCCACTAGCTTTATCACAAAAGTAATATCTTAGGAAATATTTTTCATTCCTAAAACGAATTAAGCTCAATCATGTTTAATTGTTTCTTATTAGTGTGCCTTGACTCAAATCCAATTTCACAAACGATTTTATAATCAGTTTGAGGGTTCTTTAAAGATTGAAATCCAATCCATGAGTTTAGTTTCCTATTTAATTTCAACTTAAAAACAACTTTTTAAAAAAATTTCGGCAGCATGCCGACATAAATAGGAAAAATGCCAAACCTGCAAATCAAGTTCAATTTCAAAATAATTCTCCAGAATCCATCAAAATCAGTTTCCAATCGACTAAACAAGTCTAATAACTGAAAACTCCTAAATTTCAATCAATTTCAACAACAATTGTTCAAATCCAAACCCTAACTCAAAATTATTCAAATCTAACCAAAATCAAACTTTCTCAAGCTTAAAATTCGAATTAAAGAGTGGGTTTCAAAGGGTTTTACCTTAAATCAGTTAATGGAGCTTTGTCTCCCTCAGTTTCTCCCATTTTCGTTCTTTTTTTTCCTGAGGCTCTCGGCCTGCCAGCCAAGAGAGAGAACAGAGAGAGGGAGAAACGGCCGGAAAGGGAGAGAGAGAGAGAGGCAACCGGCGGGAGAGAGATCCCGGAGAAAGTGGCCGGCGTGAAGGAAGAAAGAGAGGGAGATGGGCGGCGTGAGAGGAACCAGAGAAGGAAGAAGAAAAAGAAAAAGAAAGAGAGAGAGGGGGGGCTGTGTCTGGGCAGCCATGGGAGGAAAAAGGAAGGGGAAAAAAGAAAAAGAAAAGAAAAGGAAAAGAAAGAAAGAAAAAAGAAATAGGAAAAATAAATAAATAAAAATACATTAAAATTAAGTGTATTTTTAAAAACTTTTGAGGTGAAAATTGAAAAACTGAAAGTAATTTATAACTCCTTAAAATAACTTGAAAACTTAATATTTAATCACAAGATTAATCAGAAAAAATCAATTTTAGGCACACTAATATACACAATTAACATAATTAAACATGTTTAATTCTAGAGGGCGTTACACTTTTGTTTTGAGTGACTAATTTTTTAGTTGCTAAAAAGGTATTTGATTGCTAATTTTTATTTAAAGAATTAATATAATATGTAATTAGATAGAAGAATAACATATCTAAATAATTGTTAAATCACATATCTAAATACTGCCATATCATAGATAGTTCAAGTTTTTAGAAGTAAACATCTAAGTCTAACCAATTACAGTATATAGATTTAAAAACATAAACGTAAACACATAAACATCAAACTAAATAGTTGAACATATCTCTAAAGATAAACGAACTTATAAAGAAATATCAAAAGGCTGATGCAGGCGGCGGCGGTGGAGGGGGCGGGGGTTGTTGTGATGATTGAAAACTTGGGAAAGGATGTTCATCTGGTCCATTCATGAGAACTATCATCTCTCTCAGCACTTCCTCGAGAAGCTCATTTCTTAATTGTTGTCGGATTGTTATAGTGATCTCCTCTCGCTCTCTTTGAAAATCCATTCGCATTTGATCAGCCATGTCTCCAACACGTTGTTGAAATTGTGCCTCGACTTGAGTAGAAGATTGAGATTGAGATGACTGCTTACCAGAAATTGCTAAGAGATTACCCCTTAACGACATAATTAATGACGAAGATTGAAAGTGGCTTTGTGATTATTGGAGTACTGAGGAACAAATAGTAAGTTTCAAACCTTTCATGAAGTGTTATGGTGGTATTTTTTCACTTATTTTACGTTACTTTTTGCAATGACTAATTTGTATCATTCTTTTAGGAACGGTCCAAGCAAAATATGAAGAACCGCTTAACAAACAAAGGCTATAACAATTCACATGGATCAAAATCCTATCCTGCTCATCGTGAAGAACTAGTATATAAAATTTTCATTAGTTATATATTTTTTAACATTTTTTATTCTAATTCAAAATATTGCTACAGATGAATCTGGAGACTAATCAGTTTGTTGGTGACATTGAATTTCACCGAGTTATGTATACCAATCACAAAACAAACAATGGTGCAACCCGCAAGCTGAACAAGATTACGTGAGTGGTCATTTTTAATTAATACACATGCACTTTTTATAAATAAACAAGTTTTATGTGCAATATATTTCATTTGATGTTATTATATTAATAATGCAATTTCCTTACCTTTAATTGCTTATAGTGGTAGTTTACTTTTTATTTTATTTTATTTTTGTTCCCAAAAAGAAAATGGAATCAGATGGATTTAATATTTTTCATACAAGCTTTTTTTTTTTTTTTTTGGTTTTTTTGTTAGGATTAAACACTACAATCAATATGTATTTTTATAATTATTGTCTAGTCTTAAAAACCTGTCTAAGCAACTTTTTTTTTGGCAGAATAAAATGTTGGCTCTTAGAGATTTGCAGACCCATCAATCTTCAGATGCAGTCTCAAACGACGATACTCATCATGTTTCTTTCACAGAAGAAGACATTGTTTAAAGGGTTTAGAAGCCTCATTCGGGATATATCCGAGGAGGGGGGGGGGGGGGGGGATTCTGAAAGGATCTTCTAGTTCTCGTGGTGCACAAAGTGAAAATGACGAAGTAGTAGTGGAGTTGAAGAACAAACTTGCATCATATGAGAATAAACATGATGCATGTACATCATTTATTAAACAATTAACCTCTCAACTGAACGTGTAATTTCCTGGCTACTTTACTCAATTTGATCCAAGAACCACCTTTCCTCTACCTTTGCCACCACAACACCCTTTGCAGGATGATGATGACGACGATCGGTGCAACTTACCAGCGAGCAATGACCAACATTTTCAAAGAACTTCTTCATCACGAGGTTGAGTGCTATGTAGATGACCTCGTTCTACAACTTGAGTAAGGCTGACCCAGCCATAGCTGACTCCGGCGGTGTTCAATTCGTTGGGCAAAGAGGTCATCTCCTAGGTCAAGGGTCTCTGTCTCAGCTAGCTGCCGTAATAGGAACTCAAAGCCTCGTCATCCGCGGAAAAGAAAACTCTTGCGTAGCCTTCCCGGACTTTCCCTTCCGGCACAACAAAAAGCAAAGGTTGGCAACCCAGGCTCTCTTCCGTCAACAGATGATGCTTATCGTCCCATGATCTCGAGAGATCCATGTTATTAGACTTACAGTTTAAACCTTTAAGTTCACGTATAAATTAAATTATATTATAATTTAAGTTCACGTAAATTAAAATAGGCAAACTAAAAGTAGAAGTTTATAATATAAATTTATACGTGAACTTAAAGGTATAAATTAACTCCTAATTTTAAAGACCTTCCCAATGTTTTAAGATGTAATTCTTTAAAACTTTTTGACGCCTACATAGCGTCGGAAAATTATATTCTAAATCTCAAAAAACTTACCCACACTATATGGTGTGGCAAATTTAATTTACAAAACTTCCCGACGCCTACATAGCATCAGAAAATTAACTCCTAATTCTCAAAAAATTTCCCACACTATATGGCATCGTAAACCTAATTCCTAAAAACTTCTCGACATTAATAGGCATCGGGAAGTTTCTAGTCAACGAAATCCGCCCGGTGAAGGACCAAATAAACTTACCGACGCTAACTTTTTAAAATAGCGTTGATCAGTGTAAATATTTCTGACGATATAAAAGCGTTAAAAATTATTAGCGTCAATAAATATATCTTTTCTTGTAGTGATATTTAAATTTTTTCGCTAGTTCATTTATTGTTAACACGTTCTCAATATAATTAAATTAATGAAACCAATTAAATACGCTTTACATGGGTTCCAAAAACGGAATCATTATTTTTTTTTTGCTTTTTTCAAAGCACGTTTTACGCACCTACATATTTAAACAAGTCCATCGAATTTTATTTTACATGATCCAATTACGCCTAAACTCCAGCTAATTTTATTAATTGTAATCTGTAAACTGTAAATTGTAAGGCCAAATAAGGATAATAGACGAGATTAAAAGGCCACAAGTGGGGAACGCTAATAAACAAAACACCACCTTTTTCGGTGCTACAAGACATTTAGCGACAGTTTTCTATGAAAACCTATCGTTAAAACTCAAAATTAGACGACAGTTTCTAAGAAAACATTGTCTAATGTAGAGCTGGAAGCGTGCGGATTTGCAGAACTTAAAATCATTGTTAAATGTTCTATACACTTAATGACTGCATAAAAGATGTCGATTCACCAAACCGTCGTTAAAGCGTGCCTATATTTCTTCAACTGGTCCATATGGCATACCAGTTTGCATTAAAAGCTCCTCGTTATGTTATACCTACACTGGAGTTTTTTGATTAATGAAGTTTGTATATAAGTAAGACAAATGATTGAAACACTGGAAAATAAAATAAAATTGTCAAATGAATTGTTTATAAGAAATTTTGTAAATTTTGCTGCATATGATTGTTACTGACATATTTTTGGACTGATTCTTACACAATTAAAGAAAAGAAGAACACGAGTGAGCTTACTACACAAGCGTCACAACTAGAAACAAAGTCTTCTCTTACAAGCCTCAAAAGGAAGTGAATAATTCACATTATCATTATAAGATTGGACTGAACCCAAATCAGTGACAATCTCTTCTATCAACTCTCTGCAAATATGATCCTGCAAAGCCAAACCTATTCTTCCGATTTCTCGTTTCTCTCCCCAAGCAATGTCTTCACACACTTGTTCCACAGTCTCTTTCAAGGCTTTGCTACTCCACGGTGGTGATGGTGATGATGGCGGTGACAATGCTGCCATGAGATCCGCGCTATTCGATTCGAAACGAACATGCTTTCTATAATGCAGATCAGCACTGAGGGCAGGCTTTCTTTGAAGAGATTCACAAGTTAATCTATCGAAGATGCTTGGAGTAGTGATAATCAAGTCCTCTTCTACTGGCTTCTTCTTTTGCTGCCTCAGGTGATTTTGCATCACTCTTCCTACACCATGCTTAAAATTAGTGATTTATAGTAAAGATAAGATATTCAAATGGAAGGTTTAAAACCTTTTTTTTTTTTTTTTTTTCTTAATTTAAAGATAGTCATATCACTCTAAACCATAAACCAGGAAAAATAACACAGGTTTAGAATTGGGAATTAGGAAAATTGGATAATAAAATACTTGTGTTGTAACAAAAAGTTTCTATTAGGTATGGAATTTTAGCGACCGTTATTTTATTTCAATTTAGCTTTAGATAAAGTAAGTGTGAGTAGAGGGTCATGTTAAAGCGGAAAGAAACAAATACTAATACATGAATAATAACATATTCCATATTTTCTTAACCAATAAAAGGAAGTACTATGCATTTGTCCAAAATAGTTAGAAAAGAAAAAAGTTATCTGAAAGAACTGCAAGGCTTTTAATTAAAATAAATTTCCTCTCTTTTCGATTGAAGTTTAAGATACTCTAAGACAATAGGACCAAAAAGAATTGGACAAAATTAAGAAATGCGCCTCCTCAACTTAATTCTTCAACTTTGTATCCTTTTGTTAGAATTATGTGGCTCTTAAGTTAAAGTGTAAGAGGACAAATGTTGTAGAAATCTTGCAGTGCTTAAAAAACATATAAATCTTTTAGAGGCATTCTAGAAATTTATAGAAATTAAGCCCACCAGTACATCAAATAAATAGCAGATCCAACAAACTGCTAAAGCAATCATTATTTCCTAAAAATATCATGTAAGTGAATCTTTTAATTGAAGTATGAGAAGAATATCCTTTCCAAAAACAATTATGAAAAGAATATTGTGCTACCGATCTCACGAGTTATTTTCAAGACTAGACAGAAATAAAATATCATGAAAAGAGAAAAAATAATTGTGGAGAACTGTCTTAAGAAATTTGTTTAAAGGATTTCCACTTTTAGATTCACCTTTTAACAAACGTGCGTAGCGCGCACAAGTGTCATTTTATGATAAAGTCAAATTAAATATCACTCTTTTGTGACTCTCCAAGCTCTTCTTTTATCATATGTAACAATGATGAAAAGAGAATTTGGAGTTCTGTTTTTGTTTTTCTAATTAGAAAGACAAGTGGCAATAAAAGAGTATTTGAGAACGACAACAAGAATGATATTTTAGTAAAAAAGTACTTGGTGGATGTCATTGCTTTTGAGCACCACAAGTGCTAAGGAAAACAGAGTAAGCAGTAGTGGAGCGGCGATCATCCGGGCAAGATTTGGCTTCACTTATGGGCTTTGTATTACGAGTCTTATGAGACGTTTAGTTGGAGGATTCGTGTCATAGTTCGGATCATAGTAGTTCGTGATTTATTACAGTATTTTTTCTCACAAAAAATACACGTAAATCAAAAATAATTCTGAATCATAATTCTAATTCATCAACCAAACGCCCTCTTATTTTCTAATGTCAACGGCATTTGCGAGTGATTTACGTGTTCATTCTCAACCATTGATCAGCGTGAGTCTCACCATAAACAGTGACGCCCACCAATCAACAGCTGAGGATGAGTACGTGCTTCACTGGCGAGTGCACTCGTTTGAGAAAATCAACGAACCTTATCTTTTGGGCCTCTCAAAAAAAAAAACCCATTATGGGCCGGTTTGCTCCCCAACCAAATCCAATTGCATGCCACATGCATTGAAATTGCTCATCCTTAAAGTCATATTTCTAAGGCATATGCAAGCATGATGGCGTTTTATTTAACACAGCGCGCATGTTAGAAAAAGCGCTGCAAACGTTATGCTGCTTTTTTTTTTCCCTATAGTTGTGAAACACATGCCCTGTAAAAAAGTGGGTTTTGGCCAGATAAAGCCACAAAAGCTGCCTTGTTGTTGAGCTACATGCCTTCCTTTCTACTCCTCTCTCTTTCTCTCTCTTATCTTTTTCTTTTCTCTCTTTTGAACCTTCTTTGACTCCATCATGAAGGGTTTGCTGGATGCACACATCTTGTGGGGTCCATTTTCTATAAGATAATCACCTTGGACAATGCTGGCTAATTTCTTAATTACCTTCTCATAATCACCAATCTAATTTCCTAATTATTTGGTGATGTCTCTCTTTTACTTTTTCGTTTGCCCTATATAGGAATAGTCATCATCTCTAAGTGGATAATTCAATTTCTTGATTCTTTTGCTTGCTTAAGGCTGTTCCCTAGTTTTTTTCTTTTTCTTTTTTTTTTAAATCTTTACCTTAAAACATATTTTTTTTTCTTTCTTTAATTTAATTCCTATTTTGTTTTGGTTCCTAACCACATGACAACATTTATAATTCTAATTTATAGATGATTTTTTTTCTTTTTTTATTGTTACTATAATTTTAGCACTAGCTGTCAGTCAGTCTTAGTTAGATACAATAGTTAAATATATATTATTGCAAACAGTAGCACATGAAATCAGTTTGTCTCCCACTACTAGTAATGTTATTATATAACGGTCGCCTAAAATCAAGTGATAGTATCATTTCCTCACTTGGAATCCTAAAATAACTTTATCTGTGGGGGGAACTAGTCTATTACATGAAAAAAAAAAAAAAAAAAAAAAAAAAAATTTGTCTCCTCCCACCATGTGTATGCATCCTCCACAAATCTAGTCCCTACATTTCCAAACATTACATTTATTTCTATGGTACGTGTGATGGACATATCAAGACTTGCTAGATTTTTGGCTTTCAACCAAGTACTTGCTGGGTTTGATTTTCTTAGAGCTAGTAATTATAATTAACTATAATTCTACATTGTCTAATAAGCTAAGAGAGTATACAGGGAATTATCTCCCATTCACAATTCACGAAGCACAACATAAATGGACAAAGTACAATGGCACGAAGGAAAAATGAAATATCAATCAAATTAAAAGAAATACTTGGAAAGTTCTATGTATTAATGCCTTTTAATCGGTAGCAAATAGAATATGTAAACTAAATTTAAGAGAAAGTAAGGAAAGATTTAAAAAAACAAAAAAACAAAAAAAAGAGAAACCAAATAATTTGTGGAAATTAATTGCATAATTGGGTTAGTTAAAAAAGTCAAAATGTTGAGCGTATAATGATTGATGAATATAAATATAGAACTTGTCATGCAAAATTAAGATAAGAGACGTACCGTAATTATACGAGTGTCGTTTTGAGTACTGATAGCTACTCAAAGGAGAACGAGCCATAAACACATCAAGAACAGAAACCGGACTCGGCTGCTCAGCATTAATATAATTATGAAACATTTTCCCAACCCTAGCTTGATGATCACCACCAGTACTATTACTCTCCGGGCTTCCGAACACCGTTGTCGGCAGCAACGGAAGCCTCTCCGCCGAGCGGACGGCGTCAATGATCTTCTTCAGCGCCTTCAGGTCTCGATCGCACTTCTCCAATGCCCCGAGCAGTCGCCGCCTCTTCTCGGCAGTGGAATACTCCGACGGCACTACTAACGGCGACCGCGGTGGCAGCGCTTTCGACGTAGCCGTGGGCGCCTCTTCCAGCCCCATTAGCCGCGCCATGAGAGCCGGTGGGGCGCGGAAGTTCTCCGGCGAGTTCACCGAATTCGAGCGGCGTATCTTCGCCGGCAACGTTGGGCTCCTAGGCACTTCGCAGGAGAATCTTTGGAGGTTATTAGTGTTGCACTTTGCTTGATCTTTAGCTTTGCTTTCTCCTTTCACCGTTAATGGAGGGGAATTATTAGTCTCGTTAATTTTGTTAGAGGAAGACTTTTTCTTTTCCGTTGTACGACTAGACACCTCTCTCTTTTCCTGCCTTTTCCCTGAAAAATTTTCATAATAGAATGTAATGTTATTAACCAAGTAATGTATCAAAATTATTGATGAAGTGGGTAGAAATTTGATATCTAACTATGTAGCCAAAGAATATTCATGAAAAGGAAAATAAAAAGAAACTGAGGCAGAAAAAAGAAGAAATATTTAAACTTAACTAACAGACCAAAAGTGAGGAATTTTCTGCGGCTGTGGGAACCGGAGACGAAGTGGAACAAGCCAGACATGCAACCGACGGCCTTGGCATGCAGTTTCTCTGCGGTATTTTCACAGTGAGAAGACGACAAAGGCAGACTATCTTGTCTATTCATCTCTCTCTCTCTAGATCTCTCTCTCTCTTCTATGGTTGTTTTGTTTTAATGGCAAAAACTGTTCTTAGCTAGGGGTTGTAAAAGGACAAGAGAGAGATATATGCATATAATATTTATATACATATTTGTGTGTGTGTGTGTGTGTGTGTGTGTCTTACAAATGGAATGATAACGGTTAATAAATTGGGAGTGAGAAGAAATGGAAAAGAGATACAGAAATATGTGATTTGTGTCGGTAAAGGGTCTCTAGTATCGTCTGAAATCTGAAGAGAAAGTAAAAGAGTTAAAATGTATACATGTAAAGCAAAATGCACGCTTCCTGGAGTTTCCTTTTTGGCTTTAGCGAGCCAGAGGCAGCTTTCTTTCGTGTTTTTTTTTTTTCCCTTTTATTTTCTTGTTTTCTTTTTCTGTGATTTTGTTTTCTTTTCTCTTATAATATAGGCCGTTCGATCTTTCGGCCTTAAGACAATTTGCTTTGAGTTATTAAGAATGCCACGGGATTTCAGTGACTATCCACTTCTTCCCAGAGCCAGCGAAGCTGTGGAAAAAGGTTACAACTAATTAAAAGGAAAAGATGTGGAAATGAAACGAAAAGAAAAGAAAATATATGATGATATATATTATATATATCAGTGACTGTAACCCAAGTGGTCGTACGCATGACCCTGTCTCTGCCACGAACATTAACTTGTTGGCAATATATATTTGTAGGTGAATACTTTTAGATGGTGGGAAATTGGAATGATAAATTTACGTATCTTTTGATGGAGATGATACTTGGAATGCGTACAATTGGATAACATACGTTACAATTGTACTTGTACTATTTGGCATGTATAATAGGAATATTGATATTTATTTATTTTTCTATAATTTTGAGACAGAATTTAACTCTTCCTACTATATATATTGGGAAGGGCAACGTCTACTCAAAATACATTAGCATATTTATCCCCTCAAACTTATTTGGGGGCGTTTGATTATGGCGTCTGGTATGTCTTAATCACTAGAATTATATTATTAGGAAAGTAATAGAGAATAATATAATTCTTATAAAACATGTTGTTGCAGGGTAAAACGTCGAACTCTAAATAAGATTTTGGATGATACTCACACGCTTTAAATGAGAATAATAAATAATCAAGGATAGCTCAATCCTAGGCGCCACATCAACAAGCAATTCTCTTATGGGTCGATTGCTAGAAAGAAACGCCAAACGTAAGCATGAGGTCAACCATACCCGCAATCGAAGGGGAGAGGCTTCTGTCAATATTTTGAAGTTGAGGCTACGCAAAAGATGAGATCCGCAAGATTTGTCTCAAGATTTGTTATTGTAGTGAATTTTCTCTCCTCCCGCAATGAACGTAGCTATCAAATTGAGGGTGAATCACTATAAATTCTGTGTGTTTTTGTTTAAATTATGTTTTTAATTACTTTTTAGATCATTTAATTCACGTTAACCGTAAAGAAATTCGTTATTATTCTGGTAGCGATTTTCACCGTCAAAACATGCACTATCAAGTATGGTAGCGTTTTGAAAATTACCACACACAAAAAAAAACTAGTGCAATAAGGCCCCCTTCTATCTAACGATTGCAATGTGTCTTATTTTACCAAAAATTTCTTCCGGTAGTAATCTTGTAGTTTACATTTCGGTAACTAACATTTGACTAGTTAATTAAGCAACATAAATCAAAAGCTCAAATATTAGGGGCATAAATCCAAAGATCAACTCTTTAAAGAGCATTCAGACTCTAGGTTGGCTCAAACCGAACAAAAACACAATCAAGGGATCCAATCCAAAAAATATTTAAATCTATGAGACAAAAATAAATTACGACATTTGAACATGATAACATAAGATATAATATAAGATAAAGTAGCTAATTATATATTGACAAATTTATAAAAATATATATCATTTTCTAATATATAGATATGTTTTCAATGACTACGTTTTTATCATGGTTACTCATTAAATATATAAATTTGATGACGTGACTTGATAAAAATCTAATATCATTAATTATAATAAATTTTATATGTGTGGTGTATCTAAGTTGGTTTAATTTGGTTTGGGTTTTTAGAAGTGAAACCACAAAACAAACCATGTTAATTGGTTTTTAAAAAATTCAAACTAAACCAATTGTGCTTCATATCGGTAATTTGGCTTGTTTGATCGGTTTGGCTAGTTTAAAGACACTAAGCATTATACATGTTCGATTGTGAATAAAAAGGAAATTAAAGTATATATAGATTTAGATTTTTATTTTTTACTCTTAATTAATATATTTTTTAGTCAAATAACTATATTAGTTAAAAGAGTATTAATCAAGATTAATGGGTAAAAATTCAGACTCATGCACTCTATGGATGCATTTGATTTAAGGGTGACAATTCGTGTTAATGGGTCGTGTTCGTGTCAACCCGTTTATTAATCGTGTTAGAAAACATCAACCCAAACACGACATGTTTATTAAACGTGTCAAAAATGTCAACCTAAACACGACCCATTTATTAATCGTGTCAAACTGTATAACCCGTTTAAATTAATATATTGAATAAATAACTAATATAATAATGGCTTATTTAACACGGTCAAGATAGGTTTAACATGTTTATTGGTCAATTTATCATTTCCTTTAAGAAAAATAAATGAATTACACCTACAAATATTAAAATTCACATTATTTGTATTTAATATGTCATATAAACTTTCATATTATATTACATATCATTATATTACAGATGACATATATAGTTAATCGTGCTAATTAATGTCATTTCGTGTTAGGAGGTCAACCCTAACCTAACTCATTTATTAATCGTGTTAATCGTGTCAACCCGATTATAACCTAAACCCATATATAGTAAACGTCATAAACCTGCTAACTTCGTGCGGGTTTTGAGTCGTGTTGCTACCTAGATTACCAGCCGTAATTTGATTATAGTGGGAGAATAGTAATACTAATAGTAATGAAAATGATAATCAAATAGAATGAAAAAAAAGTTGATTCATTTATTTGAATGTAATTTGTAAATACTATAGAAAAGGATATATATTTTCATGTTGATATATGATATAAGGTAAATATACAATAATATAATATATTATAGCATTTAATGCAAACTATATAATATTATTATAATATTAATATACGTATATTATTATTGTATATTATATTATATATTATAATATGATATTTAATATACTATAATACAATGTTAATCATACTATAATTATTAATAGGGTAATTTGTATAAATGGTCTCCAACCTTTTTAAAAGGTGACAGTTTGGTCCCCAATTTTTTTCTTTTTTGACAAAACGACCCCCAACTTATTTAAAAGGTGATAGTTTGGTCATTTCTGTTAAATTTCATTAAAATTTTGACATAATTAATCATGTGCAAGGCATGTGATCTTGTTAAAGAGAGTATTTTAGTAAAATACCAAGACAAGCTCTCTTTCTCTCTCTCATCCCCCCCCCCCCCCCCCCCCCCCCTCTCCTCTTTCCTCCCTCCCCTCTCTCTCTCTCTCTCTCTCTCTCTCTCGTGTAGGAGTCCTAGGAGGGAATCCATGGCTGAGTTTCTTGACTCGGGGGTCTCAATCTGCAACGGAGTTATCAAATTCCTCGACTCGGCACGCACGGCCTCCCTCCTCGACAGCGAGCCGAAGTTGCCAGAGTTCGAAATGACAGCACTATTGTCGGCGAGCTGAGGGTGGAGATCGTCGAGCTTGGCGCAGATGAGGGACCACTTCCCTTGCAGGTCTGGACGAGTGGGATTTCATCCATGAGAGATGAGAGAAGCTTGGTGGAGATAGTGATTGGGTCGGTTTCTTCTTCCAGTGCTTTCATGGTGGTGGTTTTCTTGTTTCCCTCTTTTCCAACAGAGAAGGAAAAAAAGGGAAAGGGAAAGGGTTTTACTGTTTCCATCTCTCTCTCTCTCATCTTATTCTAGTGAGCACTCCCAACAACCCTGCGGGCTGATACCCAGAAAATTAAAAGGGAAATTTCTTCTCAATCAAATAACTTGCTTACAAGCTCAGAGAAAACTAAAAGGACTTTCATTAACAAAGACGCAACCCAAAGCCTCCCCAACATCAAGAACACGCAATTCGAAGTTGCATTTTGTTCTTTCACTTTTTTCCTTTTTCCTTCTGAGTTTTTGGGCTATTAGGCAGAGATCTATCGATGCTGTCGAGATCGATATTGGGGGGCTAAGACTGTTGTCGATGAGCGGAACTAGCAATAACGTCACTGGAATTTGAGGATTGATGAATATGGGTTTTGCAAGTTGAACCGAAATCCCACCCACGCGAACCTAGCCGCCAATCGCGCCTCCCCACTCGCCGCTCTTGCGAGCTGAAAAACCAAAGCTGAGAGGGATAATTTTTCTGGGGGCATTTAAGTCATTTTACTGAAAAAGGGGGTCACGTGACATTAACTGTTAAAAATTTAACATAATTTGACGGAAATAACCAAACTTTCACCTTCTAAAGAGGTTGGAGGTCATTTTGCCAAAAAAAAAGGTTAGGCACCAAACTGTCACCTGCTGGTTCCCGAATTGAATTCGGGTGCGGAAGCGTGGGGATGAAAAACAGCGGATCGTGTATAACAAAATTTTTCATAAAAATTTTGAGATACTCTATAGATTATATTAATTTATGCACGAATAAATTAATCACATTAATTTACATCATTCAAGGATCAACCGAAAAATACCTGGAAGCCGACTCGGATGATAACTTGAATTTCTTTGACCACGAACAGTCCTTGCTCCAAGCTTTGTGTTTAGAATACCAAAGTCTTCCACGTCAATTTCTTGATTCCACGTAGACGTGTGTGTGGGCACACGTGAGACAAAATAGGTTTCTTAAACACTCGAATTTCCACAAACACCAACGCATGCACGATGTGAAATTTTTGGAGAAAAATATTTTGTTCTCTTTTTCCTCTATGAGAATTTCGGCCACACTCAAAAACTAGGGCTCAATATATGTTAAAAATTGTCTCTACAATTTTCTATCTTTCTCATATTTAAAGAGAAGAAGTCAAACTTCAAAATAGAATCAAATCCTTATCTCCAATTTTGAATTTGGAACAAAAAATCCCTTCCCCTTATCCACTTGGTGGCCGGCCACACTCTAGGGTTTTATCCCTGTGTGTG